GACAGAAACTCACCTTTCCTTGCAAGGGCTACAGGAAAAGTATATTGATTTAATTAAGGAGAGGCATAAAGATGTGAAAGAAATGTAAAACAAATCACTGCTGACATCAGGGATCAGACAACTGTTGTTAAATAAAGCCAAAAATTAAACCTACATTGTAGAAAAGGCAAGAGCTTGCATATCTAATTTATTAAAAGGAAACATTTAGAATGAAAAAAAAAAAACAGATTCATGATTTGCAATTAGAGAATTTCTTTTAAAAGACACAAAGAATAATAACTCACTGACCTGAAAAGACCATGTCAGTGAGATAGCACAACAGGTAATGGTGCTTGCCACTAAGCCTAATGACCTGAGTTCAGTCCCATGGTTGAAAGAAAGAACCAGTTTCCACAAGTTGTCCTCTGACCTACACACACACACACACACACACACACACACTTTAAATGGAATAAAAAAAAATTTTAAGAAAAGACCAAACTCAGAAATGGGCAAAGAACTTGAATAGACATTTCTTCAGAAAGAAACACACCAGTGGCCAATGGATATATGAAAAAATGCCCGACATCAGTAGTCACTAGGGTCTTACTAATCAAAACCACAGAGGTGTATTACCTACGACATGTTAAGATAGATATTGCAGTGGAACACTGTCCCCTGGGCATGATATGGCCTTTGTCCTGTTGAATTGTCAGCAGCTATAAATTACTGGAAGGAGACCTATACATAATTGAACCCAATGACTTTCCATCACAGGGGAGAGGGATTCACAAGACCCTCTCCCCAAGGATTTATAGACAATTAACAGTTGTTGAGAGACAGACATTTTTTTCTTCAATCATGTAGCCACACATAAGTTGCTGATACTCCTATAAGTAACTCCAGTTAAACTCAATGGGAGGAATCATTTCTTAGTTTCTGTTGTTGGTGCCTTATCTATAGTGAGGAGACATTTATTCCTATCTTTCCAGAACAAAAGGTTCACACAGCAGCTATTTAAAAAGCAAGAGAAGGCTGGGGAGGTGGTGCTGAGCATGTAAAGCACTTGCCACACAAAGCACAAGGAATGAATTCCGATGCCCAAAACCCATGAAAAAGTTTGGAAGCCACCAAAAGTTAGAGTAACAGACAGAGGGTATAGGGTATGACAGCTTATCAGAGCACAGATTCGCAGGCCAACTCTCTGGTGGGAATTAGTGCCAGGGTAGGAAAAGCTGAATAATAAATTGACAAATTACTAAAGGCTCAGAGTAGACAACTCTGGAAGTTTAAAAATTCCAGAAGGTCATAGTCATGTGGGAACTATGTAATTTTGTGAGACTTGCCTCCAAGAACTCAATCAGGTTCTCAGAGTCAATATTGGAGAGCTAACCCCTTGTGTTCCTGGCAGAGACACGGAACCACTTTGAAATACCTAAGAGCACTGTTACTAATGGCATGTTTACAGCAGTGACTTTTATCTGGTACATCATGTCTAGCTATCAAGAAAACAATTGCATGGCAGAAGACACAACCTGAGGAGATGAAGTAAACAGCAGAACTCGTTGTGCACGGATATAAAAATGATAAGGAATTTAGAGCAGCTGTAGGTTCTATAGGTTCTAATTGATAAAACAAGTGGACGATGGAAACAGATACTGAAATTTTGTGCGCTATGGGGATGCTCCCCATCAAAATGTAGCAAAAAGGAAGATGGCCTTTGATAGACTTATTAGTAACTTAAGCATGCCTAAGTAAAGAATTTCCAAGTTTGAAGATAGCTCAGTAGAAACCTCTAAACTCAAAAAGCCAAGAGAACCAAGGACAAAACAGACTGTCCAAAGGCTGCAGGACACTGCAAAAGCTGTGACATGTGTAGTGGGGATACTCGAAAGAGGAAGAAACAGAGGAAATACTCTACAAAGTAATGACTAAATTCATGTCAGACACCACACCAAACAATAGATGTAGGAAACACAAAGGACACCAAGCAGGATTAACACCTCCCTGCTCCCCAAAATATATTACAATTAGGCATAGATGTTCAAACTACAGAAAGTCAGTTATACTGAAAAGGTCCGGAGAATCCAGAAGGAAAAAACAAACACCTTACCTATAGGGAAACAAAGACAAGAATCACATCCAACTTCTCAGAAACCATATGAACAAAAAGAGAATACAGTGAAATATTTAGCATGGAGGGGGAAAAAAAGAAAGAAAACCACCAACCTAGAATTCTGTACGCCGTGAAATTATCCTTCAGTGGTAAAGGGAAAATAAAGACCTCCTCAGACAAAAGCATCTGAGGAAATTTGTTGCCAGTACCTGCCTTGCAAGAAATGTATAAAGTTCTTTAGACAGAAAATAATGGATCAGAAACTATGATCTATATAAAAATTGAAAACAACTCAAATATCAATAAAATAAATAACTTCTAGTATATTCCTACAGTGGAAAATTGATTAGCAAAGATAAGCATGGAATTGCTGCATATATCAACACAGATGAAATTTGTAAGCATGAGGTTGGGGAAAGAAGTAAAACCACATAAATACTATATTAAACTCATTAACAAGCAAAAGTGAGCTAAGTTGGAAAGAGATGATGATGACTACTATGAAGTAAAGAAGAAGCTGTATCATTGCAGGATCCTAAATATTGACATGAAGAGCTGGAGAGATGGCTCAGTGGTTACGAGCACTAGCTGCTCGCACAGATGACCCAGTTTCAGTTCCCAGCACCCATATGGTGGCTAACAATCATCTGTAACTACAGTTCCAGGGGATCTGACATCCTTGTCTAGTCTCTGTGGGCATAGCATGCATGTGATACACTTACACACATGCAGACAAAACACTCATACACATAAAATAAAAATAAGAAAAAAATAAGTCAGTAAATATTGACATGAAGGAAAAGGACTTGTGATTAGAAGATTTGCAAGCAGGACTCTGCAGTTTGCTTCTTCTCCTACCTCACTGTTCTTTTTATAATTACTTGTTATATCATACATTTATATTTTACATGCATCACTACATGTGTGTTATACTTAATTTTAAATGTGTTTTTTGAAAAATAAAACCAGAACTGTTGAGATGGCTCAACAGGTAAATGCACCTGACAAACCTGAGTTCATGGTGGAAAGAGAGAACCAACTCTCACAAATGTCTCCAACTGCCACATGCACACCATGGCACACAGGCACATACATGCAGGGGGTGGGGAGGGAGGGAGGGAGGGAGGAGAGAGAGGAGAGAGAGGAGAGAAAAAGAGAATAGGTAGATGATAGATAATAAAACATTTAAAATAAAACTATTATCTTCATTCTCATTTTCTGTTCTATAATTTTAATATTAATATAACTAATATGATTGATATATTTGTATTACTGTTAATAGAATGTGTTTAACTTTTGAGTTTTCTGGTGGCCTATAGCAGTTCTTTTCATATATGAATTTCAATAATAATCATTTGATAAATAGTGTTAGATTTAAAATAGTTCAGTGATGGTTTTTTTCATCTGAAGAATTAATAGAATATATTTCCTGCTTTTCTGATTAATTAAACCAGTTTGAAATTTTTGTCCTCAAACATTTTCACATGGAGGTAGAGATTCCCACTTTCCCTTATACCTGGTCATCCCATTTTTAGGAATATATGTGGTACTGTTAAATATTACTGTTGGCTGGTAACATTGGCAATAGAAGAGCTTTTCAAAAAGGAAGTATCTCCAAGTCTTATCAATAAAAGACATGCTGATTTGAGTTTGCATGGGTCTTGTGCATGCTGCCACCATTGCTGTAAGTTCATATGAACAGCTTCCCAGAAGCCTGGAAAACTCCATTTCCTTGTGGTCATGCACCATCCCTGGCTCTCACAGTCTTTCCAACCCCTCTTCCGCAGTGGTCCCTGAGCCCTAGGTGGGTAAGGTTTAATACAGGAGTCCTGTCTAGGGACACACATTCTGCAGTCTCATTCTCACATATTGGACAGTTGTGGCTTTCTGTGTTAATCTTCTTTAGTGCATGAGGAAGCTTCACTAGTGAAAGTTGAGAGATGCATTAGTATTCTCTCTACCTGTTCCTCTGTGTTCTGTGAGCCTTAGGTGTAGAGACTGCATTGTAGATGTGTCACATAGGGCTGGGCATCTCACAGAAACTGTGTTTAACCAGTTGTAGAACTCTGTGATAGTCTCCATCTGTTGCAAAAAGAAACTTCTTTGATGAGTGGTAACAGGTATACTTGTCTGTAAATATAAGGATCTATAGCACATAGCAAGAAGTTACATTTGTCTAGGGATGTGACAGGCATAGGGTTTTCTCTAAGCATAGAAGTGGAAAAATGGGTAAGAAACCCCAACCTTAGTCAAGGAACTATTGGCAGCTGATCACTGCTGGGTGAGTGAGAGTTGGTCTTCTTGAAGGGAGTGATGCTAGATAGACCGAACAGGTTCCAGTGGATGAACTCATACCAAAAGACATTTGGAAACACAAACCAAACTTCATAGGCCTTAACATATGACAGAATGCATGAAATCTGGTGGGGGAGTTATAAAGAGGTGAAGATAGGGGAGGGGATCTAAATATGGTTAAGATGTATGAAATGCACAAAAATTCAATAAAAATATACATTTTTTAAAAAAAAGAAATGGTGAATAGCAATGGAGCCTTTCATATGGCTCTTCTTTCTTCTGGTACTGTCAAAATTGGGTCAGTATAATGGCTAAAAGGTTGTTCCAGCTCCTGCTTCCAGTAATCTTCAAGGGAATGGTGAATTCAATTGTCTAAGAATATCATTCCTCCTCATCCTGGAAATTAGCCCCACTGCCTCTGGGGACATGGTTAGGGCCTACCCAAATTTGGTATGGGGTGAGAGTCTGATCTGTGGTAATTGTCAGTCTGAGCAAGTCTCTAGTCATCTTCTAAAACCCAGTAACTCCTCAGTAGAGTATAGAGAGAACAGTAGAGCCATGGACTATCCCTTAAGAAACTCTCTTACCAACCCATGTTCCTGTATTGTAGGTTGTTCACGCCTTTCTGCTGTTCCCAACGATTGAGCGATTGTCTGAGTCACCCAAAGGCAGGATTGCCACTCCACTTTTCTGCTGGTTTCGATACGTGCTCTATGCCACCAGCTACTTAGTATTTAAACCATGTCCTGAAATAATCAAGTCCTTCCTAGTCCGAATAATTCTTCAAAGAATGAACATTAAGAGTGAATTTTCTTTGGTGGATCTTGTTCAACCATTCTGCCTTGGTAAGCACATTTTTTAAAAGTATGTGTTTTTTGTCATGTAAGGAAGTGTTTACAAAATAATCTTGGACAGTTCATGAATATCAAACAAACATTTTTTTCAGCTTTTTTCACCCTTAAAATCTAGGAATAGAATTTGAGATTGAGTGTGGGGAATTCTGTATGACAAATGGGTAGAAGAGGCTCATTGAGCATTTTCCGTATGCTTCTGATTCTCCACTGTAGCTGCAGCATGGTAAGACACGCTCAACAGAGTGCACAACATGTGTGGGGGCCTGATAGGAATCCACTGTGCCCATAGTTCAGTGTCTACAGAAATAGCCCCGAAGATGCTAAATTATAAAAAGAGTGAATAATCACCATGCCAATATATTTTATCACTGGACACTTTAATGAATGTATTTCCTAAATATGCTAGGGAATATTTTTGCTGCTTGTCTGGCTAAAAAGGTTGCTTTAAATTGTAACCTAGGGGCTGGAGATGACTTGGTGGTTAGGGGCAACTACTCTGCAAAGAACCTGAGTTTATTTTCAGTACCCACACATGGCATTTTATAACCACCTGTAACTCCAGCTCCAGGAGGATCTGATGCTTCTGGCCACTGTGCACACCCACACACACATGCATATACTTACTTATAGATATACACAAGTACCCATAATTAAAAATAATAAAAATAAATCCTTTTAAAATGTAATCTAGTGGGGCTGGAGAGATGGCTCAGCAGTTAAGAGCGCTGACTGCTCTTGCAGAGGACCCAGGTTTGGTTCCCAGCACCCATGTGGCAGCTAACAACCATCCATGACTGCAGTTCCAGGGTAATTGAATGCCTTCTTCTGACCTTTGTGGCCATTATATGACATGGGTGCACTTACATACATGCAGGAAATACATTCATACACATAAAATAAGAATAAAATTTTAAAAAATAAAATGTAATCTATATTTTTAGATAATACTAACTTATTCGGTATTTATAAATGAGTTTTATAATAAAATAATCCTAGTTTCTTCATCTATATCTATAAAATAGAGGTAAGTAGTAATGCCTTATACTTCAAAAGATTATTCTAGGATTAGATGTAATAATATATGCTAAATGTCTGCCTAATATTTTACTTGAAGTATGTTGGTGAAGAGTACGACAGTATTTTTGCAAGTACAGCTGATAGCACTGTTCCAAGCTTTTACTTGCAGTCCCCAAAAGAACAAAAAAAGGTCTAGATACTATTACTCTCCACATTTTACCATTTTATGATGAAGAAACTGAGATACAGAGGTTACATGTTTTCCCAAAGTCACACAAACCCAGGCAGGATACTACTTGTTTCACCATTTGTGCTGCTCTTGTCTTTTTGTCCTTGTTAACGGTAAAGCCAAGGCTCCTGAATAAAGTTTAGCATCATCATCCATATTGAGAATGCTACAAGTTTGCACATATAGTGAATCTAGAAATGGCACTGCCATGTCTCTTCACACAGCTGCATTGTGTGGAAGGTGTTTTTCCAGTTATATAACCAGAAGTAGTCATCACAAATGTAAGCCTCAATGCGTTGTCTCTCTTTGTGCATTTTTTTCTCTCCATTCCCTCCCCAAGTCCTGGTACTTATTATAACCTTAGCATACAAGTAAAAAAAAAAAAAAATGACCAGGCGTGATGACACAGGCCTTTAACTCTAGCAGCACTCAGAGGTAGAGGCAGGTGGGTCTCTATAAGTTCCAGGCCAGCAGGGATACATAGTGAGACTGTGTATCAAAAAAAAATTTAAGTAAAAAGGAAAGAAGGAAGAAAGAAAGTAGGGAGGGAAGAAGGGAGGAAGGAAGAGAGGGAAGGAAGGAGGGAGGGAGAGAAAAGATGAGCTAGAAAAAAGACAAGCTAAGAAGAGGGGATGTAAGGCAAGGCAGACATAGAAATTGCCAGAGGTTTGAGTTAGAACCATTCCTTAAAGGGTGACTGGTCCTGCTCCTCATCTTCCCTCATATTACAGACCAGAGATGTCCTAGGAAGAGGAAACGGGGCTGCCCAAGAACAGATCTCAGCATTAGTTTTGGTTCTTCCTGTAGGCCTATGGACTCTGTCACTTCCCTTCTTTGAATCAACCAGTTGTTGATCAAATTAAGAATTAGACTAAATGGTCTTGAATGGCCAGCCTACCTTCAGAAATTATTTGAAAACAAATGGAAATCCGCATTTGAAATCCTGGCAAATATATTTGAACTTCTGCGTGTATACGTCCTTAAAATCTACCCACCTGTGGCATTTTTACCTTATTAAAATTTTTTTTAAAGCATTCTCTTTTTTAGGTCTCCTTCTTCCTCAAACTACTAACTCTGAGAAAATGGAGTTAATGTGCTTTCCCCATTTCTCCTGCTTAAGTTGTAAAACCCTGGGTGCATTTAGAAGGTTAAGAGCCTAGAGCCCCAGGATGGAGGATGCTGTTTGCCAGGCAGCTGCTTGTGCTTTCCTTATGGCTTCTTAGAGCTGCTATGAGCTTTCCCTATGGCTTTTCTAAATTCAAATCAGGATGTGGACCATAATAAATTTTTGTTTTTCTATTTGTGTATAGAAAACATTCATACATAATGTTTGCTTGTGTCTAAGTACAATAAATGACAATTGTGTAGTGAAAGATTATAATACATATATAAGCACATTTAATTTTCTATGAAAGTACTTATTTAAAGTTATTTTCCAAGTTTTTTCTACACCAGAGTTATCAATACCTTAGAGAAATGGTCCCCAGAAATTACTAGTAAGAAAGGAACCTTGTGTGTAGTAGCAGTGATTGGCCCATAGCCACATCTTCCAGCAGCTTCAGGTACAGTCAACAGGAGCACAACAGTTTAAGCACAAGACACATTGCCCTTGACCACAGCAACCAGAGCTTTCCAGTCACTATTCCAGGCTTTCGTAGTAGAGTTATGTACAAAATAGACCCCCAAACCCAGGATGGACATTCTTCATCACTTTTCAAATGAACAACCTGCAAACAAACTCCTGGAGCACAGCCCTCTTATTTCTGGCATACTTTTTTCCTCTGGTTTTCTGATTCTGAGACTCTAGATCTGGCATTCTTGTATCCACATACTCAGTACTTTGGTGGTCTTGATGTTTTCCCATTACCTGCCAATTCTGTATAGTTTTAGTTAAAAGGAATGGAAGCAAGAATTACTTGCCATCTTTTTTGAACTCTTGGCTCATTTCTGCTTGGATAGTTAGTTCAGCCTAGTAACCATAAGTTGATCATTAGCCAGTTGTCTCAGACATCCTAACCAGCTCACCCTACCCTTCTCCTCTGGATCTCCAGTGTCCTCTACCTCCTCTTGCAACAATCATCATAGAAACTACCTTTGCCCAGATGCATAGTTATTGCTTTGGCAACTTCTAGTACCTTTCTTACTACAAATGGAAGCCCACCTGAGAGAAAGCAGCTCTCATAAAAGAGCACCTCAGACTGTAGGTGGTTAGTGTGCCATGCCAGATCTTATGCCATGTGGATAGGGAAGGTAACCAGTTTTCATAGCAGCTGTATCAGTGGTATGATTGTCAGATTATATGGAAAGAAGAGTTATCAAGAAAAAAGATCAGTTCAGAATCATTCCCAGTTGCTTTGTCTGGTCCAGCTAGATATTTGCCCTGCAGACCTGCTTCTCTATAGTCTGACTGTCCCTCACACAATGACCCTTAATTTACCAGCTTGACTTGTAGGAGGCCTTGCAGTGTTTGCACATTATGTAATGTCTGTGCCCCAGTAAAAATCTTATGGAAACAAATGGAGGAAGTTTGCTAGTCCAAGTGGTAGATAATAAATCCTGCCCTGTCTAGATAGAAACTATGTTTTTTTGTATCCTTTAGTTTATGCACACATTTTTTGTTGTTGTTATAAGCTCTGAAAACTTTAAGAACCAAAATATTCAAGTATTTCAAGTGCTGCTACCCTTTGGCATTGATGGCATAGCAACCCCTCTACCCCACCCATCCATCAGGAAGAGTGGCCCTAACTCAATTAGCATACAGTATAAACACTACCTCTGCATGCATCAGGGCAATTTATGTAACTAGATTGTCTTAAATGTTATTTTTAAAGAATATACATGGATTTTCCCCCTTAATTTCAACTCTGGAATGTTTGCTACAACATACTTTCCCTAGAGTAGGTGTTCTTCCATTTCATGAGAAATAGGCTTTCCACTAAGACAGCTAAATTGGATTTTCTGATCAAAGCTAAAAGAAAATATATTTTAACTCAACAGTATCACAGGTCAAATAATTAACTTTTTAAATCATTTGAAGGTCTTTTCATTAGGCTAAATTGATGTTTTAATTCCTTTCAGTTACCCAACTACAAAAACATAGCATAAGACCCAAGGAATTCCTGCTGGGTTTTATTACTCTGTTGAATAATTCTTATGAAAGAAACTTTCATAATCTTCTTTTACCTTAATCAATATGGAAATAACTTTTTAAACTATGTGATGAACTGACAATAATAAGCTTCCCTAAGGAATCACAGCACCGCAGGATATGTAATTCATTCCTAGAGTAAGTTTTTGAATAAAAAGAAACCATACAGCCATGTTACCTGCTCTCTTACTTGGGTGAGCAGCTTATAAATCTGTTTATAAAACCCAACTGCAGCTTTTAACAATTCATGGAAATTCAGCCTAAATTCAAGAATAAAAGAGAAGAAAAAAAAACTGTCCTAAATTTAGGACCAAAAATAATTACATACGGTACTACGATCTCATCTCTTTTCAAAATTAATGGCCCTATGAATATATTGCTATTTTTATAAATAATTTCACTTACATTTTAAAATTACCTTTCAGTCTAAAGTGTGATATTTTAACAGTCCTCCACTGCCACCTTGGCTTATGTTATTCACCATGATGGATGTACTGTTACTTAGATAAGCTTATCTGTTTGCACGCTAGATGGATGGTCATAATAACCAGTCAGGTAGCTTTGACACAGGAGGCAGTATGTTAGTCTCATGATAAC